TCCTCCCAGTAAAAGTACAAAAGAAATCCAGAGTAAACAATAGGAATATTATTTACAGAAAAATGGCAGAGCCAAGTTGTTACTTATCAATAGTCACCTTAAATGTAAAAGGCCTCAACTCTCCAGTTAAAAGACACAGACTGGATGAATGGATCAAAAAAAGACTCATCTACTTGCTGCCTACAAGAAACACATCTTACCAACAATGATACCTGCAGGCTGAAAGTGAAAGAATGAGAAAATATATTCCATGCCAACAGAAAATTTTTAAAAAGGCAGATGTTGCCATCCTAATATCAGACAAAATACACTTTAACACAAAAAACTGTTAAAAGAGACAAAGAAAAACACTACATAATGATTAAGGGATCAATTCAGCAGGAAGTTGTGACTATAATAAATGTATATGCATCCAATGACAGGGTGACTGGCTATTTAAAAGAAATGTTAATGTATCTAAAGGGAGACATGGACTCCAATACAACAGTAATGGGGGATTATACACCCCACTTTCATCAATGGACAGATCAACTAGACAGAAAGTCAAAAAAGAAACAACAGAGCTAATCAACACTATGGACTGAAGTGACCAAACTGATATCTACACAACTTTTCACACCATAGTTACAGAATACACATTCTTCTCATCGGTGCATGGAATTTTCTCTAGACAAATCATATATTAGGCCATAAAGCAAGTCTCAGCAAATTTTTAAAAAATCAAATTCATACTATGCATCTTCTCAGATCACATTGGAATGAAGCTGGAAATCAACAATACAAGAATCTCTAGAGCACATGGACACTGAGCAACATGTTCCTGAATGAACAGTGGGTAATAGAAGAAATTAAAAGAAAAGTCAAAATATTTCTGGAAATGAATGAATACAACATTATATCATATCAAAACTTATGGGATGGGGCCAGTGCTGTGGCACAGTGAGTTAATGCCCTGGCCTGAATCACTGGCATCCCATATGGGCACAAGTTTGAGACTTCCAATCCAGCTCTTTGCGATGGCCTGGGAAAGCAGTAGAAGATGGCCTAAGTTCTTGGGCCCCTGCACCTATGTGGAAGACCTGGAAGAAGCTCCAGGCTCCTGGCTTTGGATCAGCTCACTCCAGTCATTGTGGCCATTTGGGGAGTGAATCATCAGATGGAAGACCTCTCTCTCTCTCTGCCTCTCCTTCTTTCTCTGTGTAACTCTGACTTTTAAATAAAATAAATCTTAAAAAAACCTTATGGGGTATAGCAAAAGCAGTGATAAGAAGGAAGTTTCTACCAATCAGTGCCTACATGAGAAATTGGAAATGCACCAAATAAATGAGCATCAATATATATGAAGGACCTAGAAACACAACAACAAAGCAAATCCAAATTAGTAGAAGGAAAGAAAAAAATTAGAGAAGAAATAAACATAATTGAAACAAAAAAATACAAAAGACCAGTGAAATGAAGAGCTGGTTATTTGAAAAAATAAAAATTGACATACAATTGCCCCTAATAACCAAAAAAATAGGGAGAAGACAGAAATCAATAAAATCAGAGATGAAAAAAGGAAATATAACAACAGATATCACAGAAATAAAAACAATCATCAGGAATTATTATGAAGAGCTGTATGGCAACAAATTGGGAACCTAGAGGAAATGGATAGATTCCTAGACACATACAATATACCAAAATTGAGTCATGAAGACAAAGAAAACTGAAACAGACCAATAACCAAGAGATTGAATCAGTAATAAAGACCCTCCCAACAAAGAAAAGCCCAGGACCAGATGGATTCACTGCTGAATTTTATCAGACAGCTAAATAACTACTCCAATTCTTCTCAAGCTATACAAAGCAATTGAAAGGGAGGGAAATCTTCCCAAACTCCTTCTATGATGCCAGCATCACCTTAATTTGTAAACCGGAAACAGATACAACAGAGAAAGAGAACTATAGACCAATATCCCTGATGAACATAGATGCAAAAATCCTCAATAAAATATTAGCTAATCAAATCCAACAACACATCAGAAAGATCATTAACCTGGACCAAATGGGATTTATCCCTGGTATGCAGCGATAGTTCAACATTCACAAATTAATAAAGGAGATAAAGAATATTAACAAACTGAAGAACAAAAACCATGTGGTTATCTCAATAGATGCAGCGAAAGCAAATAAATAAATATGATTCATCATATTAACAAACTGAAGAAACAAAACCATATGGTTATCTCAAAAGATGTAAAGAAAGCATTTGATAGAATACAACATCCTTGCATGAAGAAAACCTTAAGCAAATTGGGTATATAAGGAACATTCTTCAACACAGTCATGCCAATTTTTGAGAAACCCACAGCCAACATCCTATGAATGGGGGAAAGCTGTAAGCATTTCCCCTAAGATAAGGTGCCAGGCAAGGATGGCCACTCTCACCAATGCTATTCAGTACAGTCCTAGAAGTTTTATCTAGAGCCATTAGGTAACACCAAGAAATCAAAGGGATACAAATTAGATAGGTGGAATCAAACCATCCCTATTTGCTGATGACATGATTGTATATATAGGGGAACCAAAAGACTCCACTGAGAGACTATTGGAACACATAAGAGAGATTGGTAAAGTAGCAGGATACAAAATCAACACAGAAAATTCCATAGCCTTTGTATACACAGACAATGCCATAACTGAGAAAGAACTTTTAAGATTAGTCCCATTCATATAGCTCCAAAAAGAATTAAATACCTTGGAAGAAATTTAACCAAGTGGGAGAAAGATCTCTACAATGAAAATGACAAAACATTAAAGCAAGAAATAGAAGAACACATTAAAAAATAAAAAATCTGCCATGTTCATGGATTAGAAGAGTCAACAACATAAAAATGTCCATACTATCAAAAGCAATTTACAGATACAATGCAATCCCAAATAAAATACCAGTGACATAGTGACATTCTTCACAGATCTAGAAAAAAATGATGCTAAAATTCATATGGAAACACAAGAGACCCAAATAGCTAAAGCGATCTTACACAACAAAAACAAAGCTGGGGGCATCACAATACCTGATTTCAAGACATGCTACAGAGCAGTTGTAATCAAAACAGCCTGGTACTGGCACAAAAACAGAAATGCAGGCTGATGGAATAGAATAGAAACTTCAGAAATCAACCCACACATCTACAAGCAACTTATCTTTGCCAAAGGAGCTAAAAACAATCCCTTGAACAAGGACAGTCTCTTCAACAAATGGTGCTAGGAAAATGGGATTTCCACATCCAGAAGTATGAAGCAGGACCCATACCTTATACTTTACACAAAAATATACTCAAAATGAATCAAAGACCTAAATCTATGACCTGATACCATCAAATTCCTAGAGAACACTGGGGAAACTCTGTAAGACATTGGCATAGGCACAGACTTGGAAAAACCCAAGAAGCACAGGCAAACAAAGTCAAAATCAACAACTGGGATCACATCAAATTGAGAAGCTTCTACACTGCAAAAGAAACACTCAGCAAACTGAAGAGGCAGCTGACAGAATGGGATAAAATGTTTGCAAACTGCACAACTGATACAGGGTTAACATCTAGAATCTATAAAGAACTCAAGAAATTCAACCACAACAAAACAATCCAGTTAGGAAATCAGCAAAGGACTTGAACAGACATTTTTCAAGAAAGAAAATTCAAATGGCCAACAGATACTTGAAAAATCTGCTGAGGATCACTAGCCATCAGAGAAATGTAAATCAAAACCACAATGAGATTCACCTCACTCCAGTTAGAGTGGCTCACATACAGAAATCAGCAAACAGCAAATGCTAGTGAGGATGTTGGGGGAAAGGTTGCCTAATCCACTGTTGATGGGATTGTAAACTGGTGCAACCACTGTGGAAGATAGTATATAGATACCTTAGAAATTTGAATATAGACCTACCATGTGATCCAGCCATCCTACTCCCAGGAATTTACCCAAACTAAAAGAAATCAGCATCTGAAAGAGTTATCCATACCCCCATGTTCACTGCAGCTCAAATCATAATAGCTAAGATATGGAATCAACCCAGATATCCATCAATTGTTGACTGGATAAAGAAATTATGGTATATATACTATGGAGTACTACTAAGCTGTAAAAAAAAAATGAAATCCTGGGGCTGGCTCCATGGCTCACTTGGTTAATCCTCCGCCTGTGGTACCAGCATCCCATATGGGCACCGGGTTCTAGTCCCGGTTGCTCCTCTTCCAGTCCAGCTCTCTGCTGTGGCCCAGGAAGGCAGTGGAGGATGGTCCAAGTGCTTGGGCCGCTGCACCAGCATGGAACACCAGGAGGAAGCACCTGGCTCCTGGCTTCAGATTGGCACAGCGCCAGCCATGGCGGCCATTTGGGGAGTGAACGAATGGAAGGAAGACATTGCTCTCTGACTGTCTCCTCACTGTCTATAACTCTACCTGTCAAATAAATTTTTTTAAAAAATGAAATCCTGTCTTACAACAAAATGGATGCCAGTGGAAACCATTATAATTAGTAAAATAAATCAGTTCCAAAAAGACAAATATCATATGTTTTCCCTCATCCACCATAACTAATAGAGTACCTAAAATTTAATGTTTAGGAGTGAAATGGACATTTTGAGATTCAATGATTGTTTATAGCTTTGTCTCTTCTATTGAATAACAGTGGTTTTTTTTTCCTTTTTCTTCATACTATTTGTTTAACTCTTTACTTAGTGTAGGGTTAACTATATGATCATTAAGTAAAAAAAATAGATCTTTGTAAAAATTAAGTGTGGGAATGTGAGAGGGAGGAGGAAGAAGTGTTGGAGTTTGGGTGGGAGGTAGGGATGGGGCAGGGGGAAGTATCTGTATGTTCCTAAATCTGTATACATGAGATACATGAAATTTGAATAACTTAAATAATATTTTTAAAAGTGTACTTCATCTTATTTCTGAGCCTTCATGCCTTTGCCCCTAACGTGTGAATAATAACACTAAACATACCTTGACACAGACTGAGCCAACTGAACTGTAGCATTCTTGGATCTGGTAAAAAAGAATGCAGGGAAGGAAGTGGGTGTTACAAAAGGGACTCATACTTTTGGAATTTCATTTTGTGACATATTTTGTTAGACATTTTAGGTAAGCTAACTCACTTGGTTTTCACAATAAATACAGCAATGATTCTTTAATCATTCATAAAGTTGTACAAATAAGGAATTGGATGATCAGAGAGCTAGATAATGTATTATGGTCACAGAAATAGTGGCACTGACATGGCTGAGAAACAACTTCAAGGATCAATCCCATTCACAATAGCTACAAAGACAATCAAATACATTGGAATAAACTTAACCAAGGACGTTAAAGATCTCTACAATGAGAATTACAAAATCTCAAAGAAAGAAATAGAAGAGGATACCAAAAATGAAAAATCTTCCATGCTCATGGATTGGAAGAATCAATATCATCAAAATGTCTTCTCCCAAAAGCAATTTATAGATTCAATGTGATACCAATCAAGATACCAAAGACCTTATTCTCAGATCTGGAAAAAATGATGCTGAAATTCATATGGAGACACAGGAGACCTCGAATAGATAAAGCAATCTTGTACAACAAAAACAAAGCTGGAGGCATCACAATACCAGATTTCAGGATATACTACAGGGCAGCTGTTATCAAAACAGCATGGTACTGGTACAGAAACAGATGGATAGACCAATGGAACAGAATAGAAACACCAGAAATCAATCCAAACATCTATAGCCAACTTATATTTGAGCAAGGATCCAAAACCAATCCTGGAGTAAGGACAGTCTATTCAATAAATGGTGCTGGGAAAATTGGATTTCCACATGCAGAATCATGAAGCAAGACCCCTACCTTACACCTTACACAAATTCAACTCAACATGGATTAAAGATCTAAATCTATGACCAGACACCATCAAATTATTAAAGAACATCAGAGAAACCCTGCAAGATATAGGCACAGGCAAAGACTTCTTGGAAAAGACCCCGGAAGCACAGGCAGTCAAAGCCAAAATTAACATTTCTGATTGCATCAAATTGAGAAGTTTCTGTACTGCAAAAGAAACAGTCAGGAAAGTGAAGAGGCAACTGACAGAATGGGAAAATATATTTGCAAACTATGCTACAGATAAAGGGTTAATAACCAGAATCTACAAAGAGATCAAGAAACTCCACAACATCAAAACAAACAACCCACTTAAGAGATGGGCCAAGGACCTCAATAGACATTTTTCAAAAGAGGAAATTCAAATGGCCAACAGACACATGAAAAAATGTTCAAGATCACTAGCAATCAGGGAAATGCAAATCAAAACCACAATGAGGTTTCACATCTCCCTGGTTAGAATGGCTCACATTCAGAAATCTACCAACAATAGAAGCTGGCGAGGATGTGGGGAAAAAGGGACACTAACCCACTGTTGGTGGGAATGCAAACTGGTAAAGCTACTATGGAAGTCAGTCTGGAGATTCCTCAGAAACCTGAATATAACCCTACCATACAACCCAGCCATCCCACTCCTTGGAATTTACCCAAAGGAAATTAAATTGGCAATTAAAAGAGCTGTCTGCACCTCAATATTTATTGCAGCTCAATTCACAATAGCTAAGACATGGAATCAGCCCAAATGCCTATCCACAGTAGACTGGATAAAGAAATATGGGACATGTACTCTATAGAATACTATATAGCAGTAAAAAACAATGAAATCCAGTCATTTGCAACAAAATGGAGGATTCTGGAAAACATCATGCTGAATGAATTAAGCCAGTCCCAAAAGGACAAATATCATATGTTCTCCCTGATCAGTGACAACTAAACAAGCAGCAAAAAGGAAACCTGTTGAAGTGAAGTGGACACTATGAGAAACAGTGACTTGATCAGCCCTTGTCCTGACTGTTGATATACAATTTAATACTTTATCCCTTTTAGTTTTTTTTTTTGTTGTTCTACTTAATACTATTGGTTGAACTCTGTAATTAACACACAATTATAATTAGGTGTTTAAATTTAACTGAAAAGTGATTCCTGTTAAATACAAGAGTGGGAATAAGAGAGGAAAGAGATGTCCAATTTGGGACGTGCTCAATCGGACTTGCCCCAAATGGTGGATTTAGAAAAGTGCCAGGGGATTCTAATACAATCCCATCAACGTGGCATGTACCAATGCCATCGCACTAGTCAAAGTGATCAATTTCAGCTCACAGTTGATCACACTGATAGGTCTAAGAGTCAAAGTGATCACACAAACAAGACTAGTGTCTGCTAATACTAATTGATAGAATCAAAAAGGGAGAGTACGATCCAACATGGGAAGTGGGATACACAGCAGACTCATAGAATGACAGATGTCCTAAACAGCACTCTGGCCTCAGAATCAGCCCTTAAGGTGCTCAGATCTGGCTGAAGAGCCCATGAGAGAATTTTAGGCTTGGAAAGCCAAGACACTCTGGAAAAAAAAAGGATTTAAATGAAAGATCTCTGTGAGTGAGATCCCAGTAGAAAGAACAGGGCCATCAAAGGAGGAGGTACCTTTCTCTGAAGGGAGAAGAGAACTTCCACTTTGACTATGACTTTGTCTGAATAAGATCGAAGTCAGAGAACTCAAAAGGCTTCCATAGCCTTGGCAACTCATGACTAGAGCCTAGGGAGATTACTGATGCCATAAACAAGAGTCTCAAATTGTTAAGTCAACAACAGGAGTCACTGTGTACTTACTCCTCATGTGGGATCTCTATCCTTAATGTGTTGTCCAATGTGAATTAATGCTATAACTAGTACTGAAACAGTATTTAACACTTTATGTTCTGTGTGGGTGCAAACTGATGAAATCTTTACTTAATATATACTAAATTGATATTCTGTATATAAAGATAATCGACAATGAATCTTGATGTGAATGGAATGGGAGAGGGAGTGGGGGATGGGAGGGTTGCAAGTGGGAGGGAAGTTATCGGGGGGAAGCCATTGTAATCCATAAACTGTACTTTGGAAATTTATATTTACTAAATAAAAGTTTAAAAAAAAAAAAGGAATAGTGGCATTGAATCCCAGTGTGTCTGACTCCACACACTGTGGTCTTTCACTGTCCCTGCTGGTTGAAAACATGTTCTCTGGTATGACAATTTTACTGAGGTGTTCATAATTGACATGAGAAAAGGGGGCTTTCCTCTGTCAGCCACCTGGATGTCTATGTTATCTGCATACCTGAACGCTTCACCAGCTCTTCACTGGGCAAACTCATGAATATTATGTTTGAAGAGATTTTGACATTTTCAGAGCCATCATATTATTATTGCCTTCAGATTGTGGGCACAAGTGTCCCATAGAATATTAAAAAATCTACATTTGAATCATTGAAGATTTAGGTTATGGAAGACTTTTGCAGAACCTTCAAGACTTGTCTAAGGATCGCTGACCCACCTCTTTCCTCAACTTCTATTGCTTTTGAAGCCTATAACAAGGAGCTCAGCAATTATTTCCTTTCTAACCGTTTCATGTTCACCATTTTTTTCCTTCCAATTTAAGTTTCTAGAAGGTGGGACCAAACTTGTATTACACACGTATCCATTACAAGTTAACACAATGCTAGGCATATAGTAAGCGCTCAGGAAGGAATTTATTTGGAAGGAGCTACAGCTGTGGAGGAAGGAAATAGAGCAAACACCTGCACAAAAGTTTATTGTCTTCACCAACTATAAATCAGTATACCTTAAGTATTTAAAAAATTGGAAGAGGTAGAGAGGAAGCAAAAGTAGAAAACACATAAAATAGCATAATCTAAACTATCAAAAATATCTAGGTTTCCTTCTCAATGTTTTCCCAAGGGCTATTACAAACTGAATTGAGATCATATTATACACACAATTTTGGATTCTGCTAGTTTCAATTGTCATTATGATGTAAACATTTCTCCATGTCATGCCACTAAAAACAATTGACTATATATATATTTTTTTAATTTTTAATTTTTTAAATTTTTTTTATTGTTGACAGGCAGAGTGGACAGTGAGAGAGAGAGACAAAGGTCTTCCTTTTGCCGTTGGTTCACCCTCCAATGGCCACTGTGGCCCGTGCGCTGCGGCCGGCGCATCGCGCTGATCCGAAGCCAGGAGCCAGGAGCTTCTCCTGGTCTCCCATGCAGGTGCAGGGCCCAAGCACTTGGGACATCCTCCACTGCACTCCCTTGCCATAGCTGAGAGCTGGCCTGGAAGAGGGCCAACCGGGACAGAATCCGGTGCCCCGACCGGGACTAAAACCTGGTGTGCCGGCGCCACAAGGTGGAGGATTAGCCTAGTGAGCCACGGCGCCGTTCTTGACTATATATATTTGAGAGTACTTCGGGAAGTTCATGGAAAATGGAATTGCAACATAAGTTTATTTTGGTGTAAAAATCTTTGAAATGCTTGTACAACTGTTCACAACATGCATTATCTATAAACTTTTTGAAAGCCATCATAAGCACAGATTTTAAAATTATTTTGTGCCTAAATAGACTTATTTTTTAATTCCATTTTATGTGAACATTTTGAAGTACTTTTATATATTTAATTGGTGATATTAAGAAACTTAGATTATCACTGTATTTTTGGACATTTATATTGTTTTAAAAATCTACATTTTCTAATAAAATCCTGATACTTTCATAATTGTTTCCTGTATCTTTTAATTATTTTCATTAGAGCTAATTGCTTGAAGCAGAATTACTAAGAAAACAGGCATATTTGATACATGTTGTCAAATTATTCTTTCATCAAGATCATACCAATTTACTCCTATGCAAGCCCTATGAATATTATGGTCGACTCTTGTCTTCTCTTTCAATCTATTTTAACCTTTCTATCGATCTAGGTAGAAAGTTTAGTGATTTTGGCAGGATGGGAATTGTCACTGCCATGTCACAAGAAAGTAAGATTCAGTGCAGATGACATGTCATAGGTCTCATGGGTACCAAGTTGTTAGGAGTTGAAACTGTTACAGGGTCTTTCTCATTTTCCTTTCCTTTCTGGCTT